CCAGTTGCACTCTGGGTCTGCTCATTGAACACATCCACGTCAGATCCGCATTCTCACAGGCTGAAGGTGCGAGGAGGCCACAAATGGTCCCCGCAGGTGCCAAATCAAAGCCGTTCGCATGTTAACAGGACGTCCCGCATTCACAGCAGGCACTGACGGCCGCTCTCTCTTGTGTTGCTAATGTTCTGCAGGAAATAGATGTGGGCAGATGTTTGGGAAGCTGCACCTCGGGGAGCCGATGTCTTCTCAGGTACACGCCGATTTCACACACACACACACACACAGCTGATCAAACAAACACACTTACATCAGTCTTTACATTAAACCAGAGAAGAAATCTGTGAGATTTGAATTATTTTTCAAATATTTCCAGAGTGTAGTTGTTTTGATAAATCTAAAGCATAATAGTTTTAATAACTCATTTCTATTAATTATTATTTTTTTGTCTATGCCATGATGTCAGTACATAATATTAGACTAGATATTTTTTTAAGATATTCAGCTTAATGTGACATTTAAAGGTTTAACTAGGTTAAAGTTAATTAAGTAAAGTCATTGGACAACAGTATCGCCAATCAAAATATATTAGAATAATATTAATATTTGCTGATTTTTTTAAATTTCAGCCAAACTAAACATAAAACTTTCTCTAAAAGACAAATATAAAATAAATACTGTGAAAGTAAAGTTTATTTTCTGTGAAACATCGCTTAAAGTCATTTATTCATTTATTTTCTTGTCGGCTTAGTCCCTTTATTAATCCAGTGTCACCACAGCGGAATGAACCGCCAACTTATCCAGCAAGGGTTTTTTTTTACGCAGTGGATGCCCTTCCAGCCGCAACCTATCTCTGGGAAACATCCACACACACACTCATACACTACGGACAATTTAGCCTACCCAATTCACCTGTACCGCATGTCTTTGGACTGTGGGGGAAACCGGAGCACCTGGAGGAAACCCACACGAACGCAGGAAGAACATGCAAACTCAACGCAAACTTCACACAGAAACACCAACTGAGCCAAGGCTCGAACCAGCGACCTTCTTGCTGGCGACAGCACTACCTATTAAGCCACTGCTTCGCCCCGCTTAAAGTCACAGGAAGGCTATTTTTATTTTGTCTTTTTTTAAATGTGTTATTAAAGTATCACACACGCACATGCACACATGCTTCTCTATTAAATGTCAAAATATTTAACAAAATCCCATATAAACACAATTTTGCTAAACATCATAATAAAACATTTATTTATTTACTTCATTCATTCATTATATTAATTTTCATGACAGCATTACATTAATAACATGATTGCATATGTTATACTACCAAAATATTCTTTAATAGCATATTCAAATAGACAAAATGATTAGCCCTCCTGTGACATTTAAATAGGGTATATGCTGAAGCATGCTAATAGGACTTTTAATTTTGCCAGTAACCTGGGTTCAGCACTTCCGATGAACTGTATGCCATTTCAAAATCGTCGCTTATAAGGTCTGTTTTCTTTAAAAATCGGCGATCTCCACTGGCTGAGTGATATCCGATATAAAGTGGGTCTCAGATTGTGTAAGAAACACTGCATTAAATACATTGTATCCCCGCCATGTCTTTATTATATGAGCATTTATTTTACCCCAGTATATTCAATGGAGCTTCTGCGCTAGCCTGCCGATTCTGACAGGTGTGTGCGAGTAAACCGCTTTTTGTCTCGTTTTATGCTTGAGCAAATAAATGAATGCCAAAGTCTATTAAATGATTGTATTTTAATGACATTACAACATTGATGCTGTAAAACTGTATAAAACGGAAACGGGTTTATCAGTATGGGAACAACACCAGCTCGGCATATACCCTATTCTTCAAATATTTTTTAAGTGACTTTTAACAGAAAATATCTTTTATTTTCACAGTATTTTTCTTGTTATATTTGTTGAGAAAGTTTTACGTTTAGTTTGGCTGGATTAAAAAAATCAGGTAATATTAATATTATTAGAGTTTGTTTTCATTGGTGATACTGTTGTCCGATGACTTTCCTTGATGAACTTTAACCTAGGTAAACCTTTAAATGTCAGTTTTATGTTTTGTTTGGCTGGATTAAAAAAAATGGCTAATATTATTATTATTAGAATATATTTTCATGTAAAGATATTTAATGGCTAATAGTCAAAACAAATCTTTTTATGCTGCTTTAACTTGTTTAAAGAAGTTAACCAGGTTTCAACTAAACTTATTAAGTTTTACCAATAACTATAGAATACACAAGACGTGTCACTCGTATCTTTTTGAATGTGGAAAAGTGTAACGGACAATATGGTGAATAAAGCCCCGCCTACTAGTATAGGAGCCAATCATCAATCGCTATAGACTGACGATGCTCCGGGGGAGGTGCTTGGACCAGATGTGAGTTTCTGCAGATTCTGTGTGATTAAGATGTTTAAGAAATGAAACTAAAGGACAGGCGTTGTTTAATTTTATTGGGGATTCCTAATATGAAACATAATTGTAAGCTTGGCAAGTAGTTTTGGAGAATTTGATGTTTCCCCATTCAGACAGTATGCCAGAGCTAACTGCCCGAGAGGCATTTCAAAGACTGCCGCCAAGTGAAATGACTTGCCTGAAAGGGACTTTGGTTTAACTTAATTTGTTTTGACAGTTTGACTGATTTGATAAAGTTAATTTGATTCAGCGAGAAAAAAAATTAAGGCAAATATTTTTTTACAGTGCATGATAGCATGCAAAATAATGCAGTATTTGATATATGCTACACAATATATAAAAATATATTCACAATATTATATATCTCATATTAAAGGTGCAGTAGGTGACCTGCCAGAATGCTTGCATTAGCATACCTTAGAAATTTTAGGACCCTCCCCTACTGTCCAAAGCCACGCCTCCTTAAGTCATGAACTTGCGAACGCGCACTGATTGGATATAACACTAGATCATGTCATTCACCAGTTAGAAAACTCTATGGAAACACGCACATTATCAAGCGCATTGTTGACAGGCCAGCGGGTGCAGAATTATATTTCCCCAAAACTATCACAGGCTATCACTGCTCAAAAATGAACAAATGTGTGAATATAAACAAACTTCACCTCAGTAAAGCTGGTTAGGCGTTTATGTTTTGTTATTAAACTAAATAATAATCAGATCAGAATAAAGCAGTGCTAAAAACAGAAATATCCTGCCATCTGTTTACATTACACTTGTGTTTACGCTACCGTGACTTTTCATTCTCAATTGTGCTCGCTGATCCTCGCTTGTTTTTAGCTCCTTTTTCAGTTGAACAACTAAACGAATGCTCGGGTCTATTTAACCGACTATATTACGGATGCTGTAAAAGGTTATCCATGAACTTGCAAATAGCCAATCTTTTGCCGGACATTTTCAGTGGCTGAACAACACTACTGTGCATATAAACCCTTTCAGAACACAATCTACATCAGCTTTGCGTGGCTACAATAGTTTTAAAGCACACCTGTCTAAACATAATACTTCAGCCGTGGTGTCACTCTTCAGATCTTTGTTTTAAACTGCATAACATCATTTCCCTCCAGCATGCAAAAGTAACCGGTATTGATATAGGGTTTAGAAGTTTTGATTCTGCATTTTTGGCAGAAGCCCTTTCAGAAACAATCTTTCTGTTCATGCATACAAGGCCACGCTGGGCTTTCAGAAAGAAGTTTAGGTTGATGCAAGTTTGCAGGATGACGTCTCTGTCAGCGGTAGATCTGTGCTGCACTTGTGCATGCGAGGGATGTATCTGTCTGCTAAAAGAGGCTGCGCAGAAATTCACATTTAAATTTGTTGACAGTTTTAGTTACCTGTCGTAATTGAGTTATTTGTCAGTCCAACAATATTAAATTGGATGAATTTTTTTTCGTTTTATGAACTCATCCAGAATATAAAAATATATATAAACACATTTAGATCATTTACTTTAATCAGTATTATTGGCATGTGAAGAGACTTTCAACCAGCACAACAACACATGTTTCTGAAGACAATCACCTACTGCACCTTTAACCAAACCATATTTCATGTGTAACTATATATAATTCTCTTTAGCCTTTGAGCTTTAAGCTGTTTTAAATCTATTAGTGTGGCTGCTTCTAAACTTTGGCTATATTAGCATATATTAGGGCAAAAGAAAAATGTTGTATATCGATAAATTTGCTAAACAATGTGATACTTGATTCATTCATTTAAGTTTAAACTTTATTGTACGTTCTGCTTGGCATTCATTTCATTCATTTTCCTTCAGCTTAGTCCCTTGTTTATCAGGGGTCGCCACAGTGGAATGAACCGCCAACAATTCAGCATATGTTTTAGGCAGCAGATGCCATTCCAGTCACAACCCACAACCCTGTGGGGGATACCACAGTACCCGGAGGAAACTCACGCTAACACAGGGAGAACATGCAAACTCCACACAGAAATGCCAACTGTCCCAGCCAGGACTCGAACCAGCGAGCTTCTTGCTATGAGGTGACAGTGCTAACCAATGATTCACTATTGCCGCCCCACAAATCAAACATTTTACTAAAAATGAATAAACATCAGCACCATTTTGCTCTACTGCTATAGTTTTATCAACCCAAAAAGTCAAGACGGAAGACAAAAACCTTTTAAAAAGGTGGAGCAGTGGGTAGCGCAGTTGCTACACAGCAAGAGGGTTGCTGGTTCGAGCCTCAGCTGGGTCAGTTGGCATTTCTGTGTGGAGTTTGCATGTTCTCCCTGTGTATGAATGTTTCCCAGTGTTGGGTTGCAGCTGGAAGAGCATCCGCTGCGTAAAACATATAAGTGTGGCAACCCCTGATTAATAAAGGGACTAAGCTGAAAAAGAAAAGGAATGAATAAAAAAAATGGTCTCTTTTATAGCTTAATGCTTGTTCATGCATTAATCGCAAATTATCGCGATATATTAATACGATACAATTTCTGTAATTTTGATATATTGATCGGCATGTTAAACAGTCTACCCTTACTAAACAGTCATTTTTAAAGGATTAAAACAATTCTCCATTTATTTATTGTAGTTTAAAACAGTTTGTGATTCTTTTATTTGTTTGTGGATGTTCGCTTACTTGTGTGTGTGTGTGTGTTTGTGCAGGAGTGTGTCTGATCTGGGGGAATGTCTAATATGGGCTGAAGGACAGGGAAAGGCGTGTGTCCCTCAAAGCTTTGAGAGCCACACTATACTGGCTCAAAATGGCCAAATCTACACCGTTGATGCCATCACTTCATGTGTATGCCAGTCTTAAACACAGCGCCACCTACTAGAGGGCTGGATCAAGACCATGTGCGTTCATGCATGCCAAATTTTGTATTATATTTAAATGATGGAAAGTATTTTGTGAATAAAATCTATGTGAAAACTGAAAGGCTCTATTGGATTACATGATTGGTTACGCATGCAAATTATGTCTCGGTTTTAAATCACATTACAAATCAACCAATAATCAAGACAATAGCAGGAAATGCAAATGACTCAGAGGCATCGCTTATGCAAAGTAGCCAATGAAATACTGTAATCCCAAACAATTATACAGAGCGCAAACTTACTTCTGTGGGTTAGACTTGCATTTTTTTTTGACAAATTGTTCATGTGAAATGTAGAATTCACATTGCATTTGTTAAAGTATAATAAGCCAAAATTATATGATCCCAAATAAATAATTTCAAGATTATAAATTGAGTTCATAACATTGTGTATACAGATAGATAGATAGATAGATAGATAGATAGATAGATAGATAGATAGATAGATAGATAGATAGATAGATAGATAGATAGATAGATAGATAGATAGATAGATAGATAGATGTGATTTATGCTAATTTGATAAATTGGAACATCCAAAAGTATTTGCACAGGCTTATTATAGTCTTTGAAAGTGTAAGCGTAACAAAGGTACGACGTGTGTAATAAAGTGTGCACAATTACTTTGATTTTAAAGCTTGGATAATGAACCAAATCACAGCATCAAAAGAAGCCTTTTTAACCGCAAAAGATGCCAGAATTCCGACATGATGGAAATCTATTGAGCTTCTAATTACAAATGAGAAATTAAACTAGCCCAAAGTCGCTTACATTTACATTAACCCGCCTATTGATTCAGACTCGCAAATGCCCATTAATGAACTCGTTGATCCATGCCTGATCCAGTCATTAAAATGAGGCTATTTCTATTTCGCTGTTTGAGCAGGTGTGTTTGGCATTAACATGAAGACACAGGGCACATGCTGGATCCTTCTCACAGTGTTTGTCGAAATAATTGTTGTTCCTGTAACACATTAACCTCCTTTGTTTCAGTTAATGGATCCATTTTGAACGGAATTAACCACCCGCGGCGCCTCTTCGCGCCAAAACCCCTCTATAAAATCGACTTCGCGCCAACTAACTCTTCAAATCCCGCCAATTTACAAAAAGCCACTTTTTTTATTTATTTACTTTATAAATATATAACATTTTATTAACTAAATTGTACACAAATACTGTCATTTCCTCTCAGGATCTCCTCGAGGACCACCAGTCCCGTTCACACCTCGTTAACACCGCCATTAGATTTGCTTTACATTCGCTGATTGTCCATTTACATTTGCGACTAAATAGGCGCTCTTTACAACTGTTGACCAACATCATATATAAAACGCTCTCAAATCTGGCTGTTCTCCAGTCAATCTCGAGCTCCTGAAAGGTCATCATGTTGTATGCAATGTTCTTTGCAATGTTGTCCACAATGATGGGACTCTCTTTCGCCCGGCCCGGGTTTTTCAACGAGCTGGAGGAACATTTAGCGGTGGAAAGCGAGCCTAAAGTGCGGTCGGAGGCGATCAGGAGGCTTTTGGAGGTGTTTGGGATGGAAGATCCTCCTGCTGCTTTGGGTCACAAACAGCCTCCTCAGTATATGCTGGACCTGTACAACACCATCGCTGATGTCGACGGAGTCACCAAAGACCCGACGCTGCTCGAGGGAAACACGGTCCGGAGCTTCTTCGACAAATGTAAGATAACTTTTCTATACATTTCTGTTTTATTCTGTTCATTTTTATGTAGGCATATTTATTTGAAGAGTGAGAATAAAAATTTAACGCTTAATAATTTATAAACTTGTCGTTTTACTCTTTAAAAAGTGGCGCGCGTCAAAAACTGACTTTTATTAATGCGATTTTAACAAAAAAAAATAAGAATCTTTTCCATACTTCTGGTCATGTTTATTTATTTATTTGAATAGTGAAAATAAAGATTGAATGCATAATAATATAGGAAATGTCATTCAAACTGTTTATAAAGTGGCGTCCTAAAAAACAGGGTTTTAACGTGATAACAATTTAAAATAGTGGCTTACATTATAGAAACGCATATATATTTTTATTTACTCTTATGTTCTTTTTGAAGAATTACAATAAAGATCAAATGGAACAGTTCATTTTAACCTTTACATTTTAAATTAGATATATAATGTGTTGTTTTACCACGATAACAATTTTAATATGTGGCTCACAATATAAATCCGTAAGGTAATATTTTTTCTACACTTCTGTTCATGTTTATGTATTTATTTAAAGAGTGACACTAAAGATTAAGAGCTTTATAACATAGGAAAATGTCATTCAAGCTCTTTAAAAAGCTGTGTGGCCTCAAAAAGTCCTGGATTGTTTTAACGCAACAACAATTTTAAAATGTGGCTCACAATATAAAACCGTAAGATAATATTTTCTCTACACTTCTGTTCATGTTTATGTATTTATTTAAAGTGTGCCAATCTTAAAAGCTTAATAATATAGCAAAATGCCATTCAAACTCTTAAAAAAGTGGCGCCCGGGTATGCTTCCCGGGTTGCTTTAACGCGATAATCATTTTAAAATTGCTGTACACTCCAAAATACGGACAAACCAAAACCACAGGGTTAAATGACAATTTAACAATTGACCCACAGTATTTGTATAGATTATTAAAGGGGTTCACGTTTTTTCTTTCTTTATTAACTCTTTGCTTTAAAAACAAATTCTATTGTAGTTTTTACTGTTTGGTTATCTGTGCATTTTATTGTTAAATACCTTGATGTTATTATTAGATTGTTCACTTAATGGCATCCTTTAAAAATACAAGATCTAGTTTTTGCAGTGTCATCTAAATTAACCATGTTTATTATGCTGAATTCCACTGCATTATTTTAAAATATATTTTAGTATAATTAAAATAAATTTATATACCGAACTAGTTTTAAATATTTAAAGACAATCCTAGGGTTATTATTCTGTTTTGGCACAATGATTTTTCCATTTATTTTTCCACAATTACTCCTCCAACTGCTTATCAAATTATATAATCACATTTTTTTTGTTAACATTAACTTATATTTTTAGTAATTTCATCAATAATAAATGTTCCTCTACAAGACTGCCTTTAAAAATGTAAACAAATGTCTTTTTGTAAATGCCATGGAACTAAAATCAAGCGTATTACTCTGTAAGCATTATTTTTTACATTAATTAAATTGTATTGTTATTTTTAAACATTAATAATTATATAAAGTAAATTCAGAAATTGTTCATACCCCAGGCAAATTCTGGGGTTTTTGTTTAAATGTAAATAAAAGCTGATAATTAATTTCTTGATGCCTCTTGTGCATAGCCTATTATCTTTTAGAAGAAGCCAGTGTCATTTCCAGTTGAAATAAAAATAGCTTGTTAAGTAAAAGTAACCTTTAAGTCTGAATTTGCTAGAGGTATGAATAATTTCAGACTTGACTGTATATTTTATTTTTAATTGTGTAATATGAAATTGCTAAAAGGTGTATAAGTGCATGTTTTTAACTTTAGTCAAGCACCAAGACTGAGAGATTAAATGTGAACGACTCATTAAAAGCCCACATTATTCATCCATTAATATGAATACTAATGTGGAGAATGTGATGATGGTTACAGTTTGTGTGTAAAAAATGTTTAGTTATGGTCAAAATTATTCGCCATCCTGTGATTTTTCTTTTTTAAATATTTCCCAAATGACGTTTAACAGATTCAGGAATTTTTTAAACAGTATTCCCTATAATATTTTTTTGTTCTGGAGAAAGTTTTATGTTTTATTTTGGCTAGAATAAAAGCATTTTTAAGTTTTTTAAAAACATTTTAAGGCCAATATTATTAGCCCCCTTAAGCAGTAATGCTTTTCAATTGTCTGCAGAACAAACCATCATTATACAATGACTTGCCTATTTACGCTAACTTTAACCTAGTTCAGCCTTTAAATGTCACTTTTAAGCTGAATACTACTATCTTGAAAAATATCTAGTCAAGTAAAATAATAAATAAAATAAAAAGCATACATTAATTCACCAGGGCTAATAATTCTGACTTTAATGTGCTATTTATTTCTCACCATGTTTTCTCTTTAGTGCACAGTGAACGAATCGAGTATCTCTTCAACATGTCCACTGTAGCCAAGAGTGAGAAGATCCTGACGGCTGAACTTCACCTGTTCAAACTCAGACCAAAAACATCAATCGTCTTAAACAGACATCACTTCTGTCAGGTACAGCAATGGGTGTACACTGTCAAAATACCATATAATTACCACTGCACTGTTTAAAAAATCTGTTGATGAATAGTTTCTGTGTTTTGTTATTTACAAGTGTTTCCCGTTTATTTACGGTTGTATATTGGGTTATGGGATGTTGCTCTCTGCTCTGTCGACTTCTGGTGTTAAATTCAACTCTACAGTTTACCAAAGTGACTTTCATTAACGTTTTAGTAGTTTGAAATAATATAATGCATAAGAAATGTGTATATATAGAGAAATGTGTCTGTAAAAGAACAGAAAATTTGCTGGCCGTGGTGTTTGTACACCAACCAAAACAATATAGCGCTTTATTAAAATTGTTCAAAAAAGCTCCCATAATGCAATACAAAAGCAGAAATAAATGGGAAAATATGAAAACATGAATCCCAAATATGAAAATTGCTAATATACGGATGTATTTGTTATAGTGTATGTAGTATTAGATTACATGTAATCTGGATTACATCATCAGATTTCAAATGTGTATGTTTACTCGTAATTAGAATAAACTACTTTTCAAAATATGCATAGTTAGACTACAGTTACTTTTTAATGGAGTACAAATTATTTAAACAACGACAGTAATTTTATATTTTTAACAATACCTATGCTTATACGCTTATTTCACGCGGCCGCCATTTTAAAACACGAAAGCGAGGCTGTTGTGGGAAGAAACCTGGAAGTATAGGAGCAGCAAGATATATTCAAAAGGCATATATGGTGTAGACATCATTTTAATATCATTCAGTTCAGTTTAATTTAAACAATTAAAAGCTTATTAGGCATCAAACAACATCACTGTATCTTTAAGTGTGTCCTCCTGGGCTTCAGTTCATGGGACCGGGTAAGCACAGTGGGGGGCTTCCCTGCTTGCTTTAGTCTATGTAACCCGGTGAGCAATAAAACAATGCAGTCCTCTGTAGCACATCCTTGTCTTGTCTGTAATAGTGTTGTCCCGGTACTGAAGTTTTAAAAACGTCCATTTCCTACTAACATTCAAGCGCTGCTGAGTGCGTTCTTAAACACCTCTAATTTGCCATAGTATTCACCAGTGCTCAACAGAAATGACTGTGATTGGCTGTGAAGGTCATCAGTTCACTGCTCTTCACTGAGTGCAAACACAGATACATGAACAGTGGAGTGTTTTAAAGCAGCAAAGATCAGTCGAGTCATCAGCGGATCGCTCGTCTGTGTTTGCACTGGGTGAAGAGTGGTGAACTGATGACCTCCATGGCCAATCATAGTCCTTTCTGTTGAGCACTGGTGAATACTATGGCAAATCAGCGGTGTTGCGCCCAACAGTGCTTAAATGTTAGAGGGAAATTGACGGTTTTTATAAATTGTGACAAGTCTAATATAATGAAAGAATCAGTTGTTTAACTTGAGTTTGATAAATTGCATCTAAAACTTGGTTTGTAAAAGAAAACGTTAACTAACTAGTGGCATTAACTTAGCTGAAAATGAGGTCCGATATCCCATTTTATTTTCACTTTCCATTCAGAACGGACCTTTGGGTCACTCTGAAGACAGTGAAATTCTATATTTGTGTAGCTTTCTCTTTACTGATAAGATATACAGCCAGGTACAACACAACATTCTTGTGTGACTCAGGCTATATTTCCGAGTTTCTTTCCACTGCAGCCTCGATTTCGCTTTTTTAATGGCGGCCGCGTGAAATCAGTCTATATTCTACAGCAGGGGTGCCCACACTTTACAGCATGCGAGCTACTTATAAAATGACCAAGCCAAAACTATCTACCTAAAAAAAAAAAAAAAAAAAAATATATATATATATATATATATATATATATATATATATATTAACATATTGAGAATTCTGTATTTGTACAATATATATTGATGTACCTTGCATAACTGTACGAACCCATATTGTGCAATAACCTACAACTATTTAAATATACTTAAACAAACTTTTGTCATTACCTTACTCTGATGACTTGCCCTGAATGGAATCAGCAAGGGAAGCATAGTCTGTACAGTAGCTCATAGCCAGCCTCAAGCACACTACTAAGTGATCTTTAGTCATGGTGGAACGAGATTTGCACTTAACTGCGTCAACTTCGCTAAGTGCTGAAAAACTATAGTTTTGCAGCACTTAGCGAAGTTGGTGTGGTTTTATGCGCATGCGTGGTTACCCTTGTGTAGGGACAAATGGATTCTGCGGACGTTTTTTTGCTATTTATGCTGAGAATTTTGGTAAAAATCTGCAGATTTCTGCTGAATTATTTTGGGAGAATCATAAATAAAACCTTAATATGCAAGATAAAACGTAATACCTTTTTAACTTGTATTTAATGTTTAAAATGCAGATCCAAATAGATAAACTTTATTTGGTAACCAAAGCAAGTCTTACATGTAATATCTCTACTAAAAGACAGAAAATATTACTGTACAAACTGCATTGTACATAAATCAGATGAACATTTTCATTTAGTCAATAATATTACTGTAATTAATTTAAAAACTGAATGAATATAGATTTACACACATTTGCTAAAGTAAATAAACAGAATTAATGATGGGCTGAAAATCTGCGATAATCTGCAGATTTTCTGTGTAATTCTTTGCGTGCAAATTCCATGTGTCAGAAAAGGTCAGATATCAGACTAGCTGTCCTTTATGTCAGTCAAGCGACAAATTTCAGTGAGGATGGATGATAGACTGATGTCTGTTTTTTAATGCCATGCAATCTACCCATGCTACCCTTGCGATCGACTGATAGATTGTGATTGACATATTGGTCACCCCTGTACTATAGTGTATACTGTTTTTTTCATATACAGTTGAAGTCAGAATTATTAGCCCCCTGAATTATTAGACCGCTGAATTATTAGACCGCTTGTTTATTTTTTCCCCAATTTCTGTTTAATGGAGAGCAGATTTTTTCAACACATTTCTGAACATAATAGTTTTAATAACTCATTTCTAATTGATTTATTTTATCTTTGCCATGACGACAGTAAATAATATTTTACTAGATATTTTCGAGACACTTATGTACAGCTTAAAGTGACATTTAAAAGCTTAACTAGGTTAATTAAGTTAATCAGGCAAGTTAGGGTAATTAGGCAAGATATTGTATAACAATGGTTTGTTCTGTAGATTATCGAGAAAAAATATAGCTTAAAGGGGCTAATAATTTTGTCCCTAAAATGATGACTAAAAAAATAAAAAAATGCTTTTATTCTAGCCGAAATAAAACAAATAAGACTTTCTCCAGAAGAAAAAAATATTATCTGACATACTGTGAAAATTTTCTTGCTCTGTTAAACATCATTTAGAAAATTTTTTTTTTTAAAATTTGAAGGGGGGCTAATCATTCTGACGTCAGCTGTATATCCTTAATTGGTACTGTCATATGCACCTGCAAGTGTTTTGGATTAATGTGATGTTTTTGTGCAGGTCAGTGTGTATCAGGTTCTGGACAGCAGCAAAAAAAACGTCTCGCAAGGGAAGAAGCTGCTCTCATCCAGACTGGTTCCAATTCACTCTACTGGCTGGGAGGTTTTTACCATCACTCAAGCTGTAAGCATTAACTAAAGACTTCCTTTCAGACATTTACTAAAATATTTTAACTGTACAGTGTAAAAATGCTGGGTTGCATTTGTGTTGTGGAAACATGAAGGAATTCAATTCAATTTATGTTTATTTCCATAGCACTTTTACAATGTAGATTGTTTTAGCGTCACATAGAAGTTCTAGTGAATGGAAACAGTGTCAGTCCAGTTTTCAGAGTTGAAGTTCAGTTTAGTTCAGTTCAGTGTGATTTAATTTTCACTGCTGAGAGTTCAAATACTGAAGAGCAAAAAAATGTTGACTTATTAGTTTTTACAAAGTGGACTGAACATAAAACTATTAATTTGTCCCAAAACAACTTAAAAATTGTGTTGTTTCAACTAATTCTATATAAGTAGATTGAACAAGCAGCAAAAGTAATTTTTTAAGTGTACAATGTTAGGGTGAACCAACATGGGGGTTCTAACATGGCGACTAGCTAGACAGACATACAACTCGACACTCCTACCACAGACGGCCAGATTTCAAACTTTAGGACACTTTGAGATATTAAACTGACGAAATAGCCTCCGGGTTCAACTGTGGTCACAAATTAAGCCATCTTTCCACTGCACATGACATTTGAACACGACTGTCGGAATACGCCCCCTTGTGGCAGTCGCACAGTATTTTCAGTGTTGTCGTGCACAATAGGATTCTCAGTGTCCGAAATAAAGGAGTGCAAAAGCAAGAAGCTTTATTCTCTGTGCGTTAATATGGTTTAATGAATGAATGAATACTAGAAACTCATAGACCACTAAAATATTGGAGGGAATGTGGAGAAAACATTAAATATATTTTTTTTTATTACTTTCTTACTTACATTTATGAACAGAATTTTTTAAAATATATAAAAGTTTAAAAATTAAAAAAGTAACCAAATAAACTCAATAAATTACTCATCTCGCGCGCACGAATTGATTGTAAAACACTGGAATACATCACATCCGCTCGGCCGGTTGCATACGGTCTAGTCGCAGGAGTTAAAATATTTTAACAGATCCGCAGCTCAATCCGGATCCGAATTTTCCGCATACAGAGATGATCGGAACTTCACGCCGATCCCAGACTACTCTCCATTGGAAATGTAAGACTTCCGGTCTGTCGCTTGTTGTGTGCAGTGGAAAGGAGGCTTTACAAGGAAGAATCCAGATACAACTGAGGAAAGTCTTGATGGCGACGAAGCTAACGGTAGCGTCAAGCTAGCAGGTGATGCTACAACAAACAACGAAGAGAACAAGGGATAAAGGCTCTCGCAGATATGAAACACTTTTTCACTTCTCAATTTGGTGGTGTTCTGAATGCTATTCAAGGAATTAAAAATGAAATCTCCGAATTTGGAGGCACATTAGCAGAGGCTGAACATCGAATTAGTGAAACGGAGGATAATGTGGATAAGCTACAAAAAACGGTGAAAGTTCTGGAAAGCCGAGTTGTAACACTCAGCGCGGACCTGGATGACTTGGAAACCGTAATCGCCGTTGAAATCTCTGCCTAGTCAACCTACCTGAAAAAGCGGAAGGGACGGACGCGGCAAACTTTCAAAAAAAGTGGCTTAACGATGTGTTTGGACCATCTACTTTTCCGAGTCCAGTGATTATTGAAAGAGTGCACAGAATCGGCAGGCTCCAGGCAAAGCCTCAGAAATACCCGAGAATACTGATCAGGGTTAACCAACACTACAGACTATCAGAACTTTGCCCAGGTGTGTTTGGCGCCCATTTCCCAGTTAATTTGACAAAGTGTGAGTGCTCCGAATCAGGTGCAGTTCAATTAGCCGGCCCTGGCCAGGTTGGAAGAGGTGTGCCAGAGCATGGTTCAGTTGGGCTTTGGTGCGGTACGCTTTGTAGTGTGAGTGCAAAGCGTGCCTGACCGTACGTTCACACCGAAAGCGGCGAGAGCGTCCAAGGTCGCTCTGGCCGCCCTGGCGACAACGCTCTCTGCCTTCAGCTCCTGCGGCGAGAGCGTCAAAACTCGCTACATTGATCTCATATTTAAAGGAGCCGTTGCAGCATATCAGTTACATTCCTGCATAAAACATGTTTCTAGCGTGAAAATGTTGCGCACTTCTTATCAAATTCATACAACAATGGAAGATCAAGTTGCGTGTGGCTTTGCTCTATTTATCCAATATGTGTCCATATGTCTGAAATATCCTGAAGCAGCAGTACTGTTTTGTACTGTCACATCGCGTGAGATTCCCGCTTTTTTAAGATAAATATATAACATTAATGAACATCAGTAACTCGCCAGTAACTTATTTAATGCATGTTCCTGTAGGAAAAAATTGTAAATAATTGGAAATCTGGCGACCGCAATAATCAAACCCTTGGGAACAACTGTAGTCGGAACCAAAGTTCACAGGTCTGTGTTCTCTGAACTGCTATCAAGCGGTGGACGTCTTCATTCTGATTGCTTGCCGCCGAACCGTGTCATAGCTCATTACCATAAAGTTGACTTCATTTCAACTCTCCTCGACGCTCACGCCGGCAAAGACGCGCCGCGCTGATCCTCGCCGCTTATCGCCGCGTATCGCCGCCGGCTCTCATTGAAAATGAATGACTTCCGGCTACTTTGACGCTCTCGCCGCTTTCGGTGTGAACGTACGGTGAGAATGAAACTGAAGACCTGATGTAAATTTTAAGGCACGGTTTCATATGGATTCATTAATCAAACTGTCATAGTTTATTAAAGAGGCAAACCCCACACTGCACATCAGCTGCACCTACAGCAAACCTCCTAATACATGCAGCACGATGACTTTCATGACATTTTTCAAGTGTCAAAAGTGGGGTAGCCGTTCAACAAATTATTTGACTGTGTGTCACTGCATTAGAGATCTGCATAGGACTGAATTTTTAGTCCCGCTCCCTCCAGGTTTTATTCCGCTCCCGCTGTAAATTCAGCCTTTGTTCACCCACTGCCCGACCCACCCTGCTTTCTACCCAACCTGACCATTCCCATTAAATTTTAAGGTCTGTTTTCCAAAATCTCACTTTAAAATTGGGTACTACCAAAAGAGAGAGATAACAGAGTTTTCTTTGCCCCTTTGTGATGATCCATGACTTCTGTGTGACGTGTGGTGTGGTTTGTGGCTGGTAACTCTTTCAAAGTCAGATTTACAAACAGATCCACTCAATATATTTGCCAACTATCGATTGCGTTACATATATCCAGACATCCCAAGTCTCTCGAAAGATGCAGTGGAGAGGGGTGCGCAACGTGTTTGAGGGCGGGCGGCAGACACGCAATTTACAGGAGATTATCATTAATTTGCGGGCTTCCGGGAGTCTATATGCGCTTCTGCTGCTTTCCACAGCATCCCTCCGCGTTCTTCAGAAATGTCCCCTCCACCCCCCGAGCTTTTCAGATACGTCACGCAGACACATATACGGTTAAAGTCAGAATTATTAGCCCTCCTGAATTATCAGCCCCCCTGTATATATTTTTCCACAGTTTCTGTTTAACAGAAAGAATATATTTTACAACACATTTCTAAACATAATAGTTTTAATAACTTATTTCTAATAACTGATTTCTTTTTATCTTTGCCATGAAGACAGTTCCTCAAGATGAAAAAAAAATTGTTTAGTTGTATTTTTCTGCTCTTAAAATAGTGGCAGGCATTTTTTGACACCATAAGTCAAGAGGAGCGTTGATTGGACGTCTCAACGGCAGGTAATAGTTGAATGTAGTTTGTTCCAAATGAAACGCTGCCAAAGTAGACAACAAGTAAACTGAGCTGACATTAGAACATATTATTGTGCAAATAGTGTCCTCTGTATCCTGATCTCACTAGGAAACTGAACTCTTTTACATTTTGTCAGTTTAGTGGCTATTTCAGTCATACGAAATACGAAAATGTACCATTTTAAAAAGGAGGCGTGGCACCCAACCCAACCCTAAACCCCACTGTCATTGGGGGATAGGCAAATCGTACTAAATTCTACAAATGAGATCGTACGAATTCTTAAAAGTTAGCCACTAAATCAAAAAGCTATGAATTGCCGTGAGATTGTGTTGCTATATCTAATGCATGTGTTTGATCTGAAAGGTGCGCTCGTGGATGTCGGACGAGGGCAGTAATCTGGGTCTGCTGGTCTCAGTCAGGACTCTCGCAGGCTCTCAGATGGACCTAAAAATGGTGCGTTTCGCATCAGGTCGGGATCATCATCACAGCAAACAGCCCATGCTGGTCCTGTTCACTGATGACGGGAGACGAGCTGCTTCTCTGGAGGCTACAAGTAAAGGTAAATATCACACGCATCTCTTTAGTATCAAAATGAGTGGCCCTCCCATTTATCTCTTTTCCTTTTCAAATATTTCCCAAATTATGTTTAACGGAGCAGTGAATTTTTCACAGTATTTCCTAAAATATTTTTTCTTCTGGAGAAAGTCTTATTTGTCTTATTTCGGCAAGAATAAAAGCAGTTTAAAATTTTTTAAACATAATTTTAACGTCGAAATTAATTAAACTGTCATAGTTTATTAAATAGGCAAACCCCACACTGCACATCAGCTGCACCTTCAGCAAACCTCCTAATACGTGCAGCACAATGACTTTCATGACATTTTTAAGTAAAGGTAAAGGTAAATATCAAACGCATCACTTTAATATCAAAATGAGTGGCCCTCCCATTAATCTATTTTCTTTTTCAAATATTTCCCAAATGGTGTTTAACGGAGCAGTGAATTTTTCACAGTATTTCCTAAAATAGTTTTTTCTTCTGGAGAAAGTCTTATTTGTCTTATTTCGGCAAGAATAAAAGCAGTTTTAAATTTTTTTAAACACAATTTTAAGGTAGCCCCATTAAGCTGTTTTTGTTTGATTGTCTACAGAACAAACCACTGTTATACAATGACTTTCCTGAATACCCTAACCTGCCTAATTTACCTAGTTAAGCCTTTAAATGTCACTTTAAGCTGAATACTAGTATCTTGAAAAATATCTAGTCAAAATTTATGTGCTGTCATCATGACAATGATAAAACAAATCAGTTATTAGAAATGAGATATTACAACTATTATGATTAGAAATGTGTTGACAAAATCTTCTTTCTGTTAAACAGAAAATGGGAAAAATATACAGGAGGGCTAATAATTCTGACTTTAACTGTATATAATGTAATGTTATTAATGGTACAAATTGGGTCTTAATAAGTGATAATATAATCTGACTTTCATTTTTTTTTTACTAATTTAGAGATCCAAAGCACCTAAATACCCAAAGTCTTGAAAATCGTTTACTTCGTCACAAAATACATCATTTACAGTAAAATTTTTCATCATTTGGATGACAAAATCTGGATGCGGGCAGAAACGGGAATAACAGCATGGTAAAAAGTACAATGTTTACATTTTGCTTTTAATTTATCAATATTTTATGTTTGGCCTGCAATAATTCGTTTTTAAAGAGTGTTTCCAGATATTTATTTTATATTTTTACAACCTTAATCAAACATTTACCCCGAAGTTCTAGATCAGGGGTGTCCACACTCGGTCCTGGAGGGCCGGTGTCCTGCATATTTTAGTTCCAACCCCAATTAAACACACTTGAACCAGCTAATCAAGCTTTTAAGCTGCGGTTACACTACAGTTTGAGTGTGCGATATTCTGTCGTGCGGCGCTGCTAAAAGGGGCGGGATTAAACAAGCTTATTAGAGATTTAAAAAAGCGAGCGATTGCTCCATGTTTTAAATTTCTGTCCAGAGAGGTCATGTTTTGATCCTAGAATGGTCTCACGCAGTCAAGTAATGCGATTTCGCAGGTCAGAGTTCACCAAGCTTGAACTTTGCACCGCAGCAACCTGCGAAACTTGACGCATGACCCTGCGTTTTCCGGTCTGACGCATTCGCATGTCTATGGTAGGAGAAGCCCAGTGTGACCACAGCTTTACTAGGTATACTAGAAACTTATAAGGAGGTGTGTTAGAGGAAGTTGGAGCTAAACTAGCAGGCCCTCCAGGACTGAGTTTGGACACCCTTGTTCTAGATAAAGTGAGAAAAATAATCACAAATAAAGGAAAAAGTACATATTTGAGCATATATTTTAAAATGTCAACAGAAATAGTGCTTTATGTGTGGTTAATATGAACCAATAGAATATACTGTGATATAAAAGTGATTTCAAATGATAAAAACCCTTCTTTTTTTGAGTGAGATGCTAATCTGATTCAATGATCTATGCTAAGCTAAGCTAAAAGTGCTCCTGCTAGATCCCAGAGATCGACTGAATTGATACAATACTTTAAGTAATCTCATATCCTGATAACCATAAATATATATGAGATTACTTAAAGGAGCTTTAAGTAACCGCAGCAGGGAGCTTCTGTGACCGCAGGAAATGCAAACGGTTGAAGTTTAAGGAAGACACTATGAAAAAGGCACCTAGTTTAACCTTTTTTTTAAAGATTTAGTATTAATATTATGGTTCTTCTGAATGTGCCAGTTTAAGTTTAGTTTAAAACACAGTTCAGATTGTTTTATTATAATGTGTTAAAAAAGTGTCATGTTGGGGGTGTGCACACAGCTCGTTGTTTTAGGGGCGTGTTGCTTCACATGAAAATTAGTTTGACTTCCCGCCCAACTTAACAAGAGGGCGGAGCCAAGAGCTCAGCCGCTCTGTGTTTGGCAACAGACACAGACCAAGCAGAGAGTACACAATCATTTGTGTCTTTGTTTAGTTTTACAGCCAACTGTGTGCTAGTTTAAGTTCCGAGCTTGTACACCAAGACTAATAACCACACACACTGAATTAACTTTGACTGAGTCTATAACTTAAGGGCGTCACACACTGGATGTGCCACTCAGAGCCGTGACACGGCACACCAGAAGCATACATTTGCATGTTATTTAAATTGAAACTATTCATGTGGGACTCTGTGGCGCGGCAGAAATATGAACAGTGTCCTGAATTATGGCTGGGCGCCGTAGACGTGCGGCACTGGTGTGTGTACCTTGATAGAAACATTTGTTTAGAATTCTAAAATGCATGGCGCTGTGTGGCATTTCGCAGAGCGGCACTTCTGGTGTGCGACCTGCTCGTTATTTCCAATGGAAGGATGTGCACATGAAGTAACGCGCTCGCACTTACCAGGAGCACCTAGTTGAGATGTCAGGGAGCTTCTGTGACTGCAGGAAATGCAAACCGTTGAAGTTTAAGGAAGACGCATTGAAAAGTACACGTTTTTAAACCCACCTAAAGTTACAAACAATGGTGCCGATGAGAGCGATCATGTGGTGAATGTTGATCTTGTGTTGAGCCCAATGAGCCTTACATCTAAAAATAGAGCAAGGGTGTTTCTTTGGTGATATCGATTTGACTCACACGCTGAAAATGGCGGACGTGAAACAACAAACTGAGGATATGGTGATGCACGCCTGTTAATCAATATTGGTGGGCGGGGGGATCGCACTTCTACATCAAGTTGCGGTTGGTTTTAAAACCGCTCCAATTTGTCCACAGTTTTTATGCTGTTAAATTAAAAGAAAAGGACTAGGAGTGTTTATATCACCCCACTATGATGGTCTATACACTATACCTACACATATGTCTGTCCAACCAGCTTGAAAAGTAGATTTCTCACCATAGGTGTCCTTTAAATCGTGATATGAAATATTAGTCAAATCATCCAGCTCTATGATCATCTAAAGATACCTCTTATGGTGCTTTCACACCTACACTTTTGTTTCGGAACCTGTCTCGTTTGTCCAGTTAGCGCGGTTCGTTTGGCATATGTGGAACCACCAATCGCTCTTGGATCCGCACCAAATCAATCGCTCCGAGATCGCTTGAATGAGGTGGTCTCGGCTCAATTGAAACGAACTCTGGAGCGGATTGATTGCAGTGAGAAAGCGATACGATCCGAGCGCGATTAAATCACAGTGTTTTATGGATGTGTAATAGGCATACGGCTATATAAAGAGAGAATTATGAGTAGGGCGGGAAGTTTTGCGAGTCTCCGGATGCCCGCAAATGAGTGATGATCTCCCGGTAATCTCGCGTCTCCCTCCCGGCCCTCAAATAGGCTACGTCGCGCACCCTCCTCACCGCATCCCTCCTCGCTCTTCAGACACGTCGCACGCACCTTTTCAAACACCACCAAACCACCACCTCTTCTGACAGCTGAGCGGGACTCAACAAAATAAACCCTGACTCTGACCAATGTGAGGAGAGTTTACTCACACGTGACTTGTTTTAGCTCTTTTGGTCCGATTAGAAACTTTGCCGTGTGAAAGTGAACCGCACCAAGAGCAAAGAGCAACAATGTAACAATTGTAATCTCTGTTTCAGAACAACTGAATCGATTCACAGGTGTGAAAGCAGCCTTAAAGTGACACTCCATGTTAATTTTGAAAATATTCTCATTTTACATCTCCTCTAGTGTTAAACACTTGAATTGTATAGTTTTTGTATCAATTTAGTCGATCTCCGGGTCTAGCGGGAGCACTTTTCTGACTTCCTCCTCATCTCTTGTTCTCCGCAGGTTCAGATGTTTCTCCTGGCGGCTCCAGTCAGCCGCTTCCCAGTGTCCCGGCGTCCCGGCGTAGCTCTCGCTCTGTGGATTATGACGAGAGAGGAGAAAAGATGGCCTGTCAGCGTCAGCCGCTGTACGTTGACTTTGAGGAGATCGGCTGGTCCGGTTGGATCGTATCTCCCAAAGGATACAATGCGTATCACTGCAAAGGCTCCTGTATATTTCCCTTGAGCCAGAATATGAGGCCCACGAACCACGCCATCGTCCAGTCCATCATAAACACCCTCAAACTCAACAAAGGCATTCAGACGCCCTGCTGCGTCCCGGACAAACTCTACAGCATCAGCCTGCTATACTTTGATGATGACGAGAATGTGGTGCTGAAACAGTATGATGATATGGTGGCCGGAAGCTGCGGGTGTCGCTGAAAAAAAAAAAAAAACAGATTTACCTCAGTGTTTAATGCAAAATCTGGATAAAATTGTAAATATGTACATAGATAGACAATATTAATATATGGAGGAGGCTGAGACGATCCCTTGTAATAAAATGTACATTTTGTAAATTGCATGTCGTGAACTATTATGAAGTCTAAATAAATTCTTACGCAAAAATAGTTTGGGGGTTTTGTTATTGTGAGAGTAGAAGACAAGAGCATTATCCCTCCTGTGACATTATTTTTCAAATATTCGGTTTATTTAAACAGCTCTGATTGAATTTGACCAAAAGAAGAAAATCATAAAGGAAATGACTTAAGAATAGAGATGCAGCGATTATAGATTTTGGTTGTACGATTATAGTTTGAGAAATATTCTCAGTTTTACAGTTATTATGATTATTATGCAATAATTAATTTCAAAACATGACTAGGCGAGGCAGTGGCGCAGTAGGTAGTGCTGTCGCCTCACAGCAAGAAGGTCGCTGTCGCTCAGTTGGTCGCTCGGCTCAGTTGGCGTTTCTGTGTGGAGTTTGCATGTTCTCCCTGCCTTCGCGTGGGTTTCCTCCGGGTGCTCCTGTTTCCCCCACAGTCCAAAGACATGTTGTTTGGTAGTGTACGAGTGTGTGTGTGAATGTGTGAGTGGATGTTTCCCAGAGATGGGTTGCGGCTGGAAGGGCATCTGCTGCGTAAAAACTTGCTGGATAAGTTGGTGGTTCATTCCGCTGTGGCGACCCTGGATTAATAAAGGGACTAAGCCGACAAGAAAATGAATGAATGAATGAAAACGTGACTAGTTTAGTAAATCACATGAAAACTTCTAATATTAAAGTGTTGTTTATTGCTGGTCAGTAACTAAAAAATACAGCACAAATTAATATTAAAAACAAACAATAGTTCATTTCTTTTTGGACTTAAAATTAAGTGAAAAAAAAGTTGGTTTGTTTTTGTATTTAAACATAAGTAATAATTTTACACTGAAAATACATGACAGGACAATAAATAAATTAATAAAAATAAAATAATTTATTGTGTTGATTTTTTTTCTCTTTAAAGTAGAAATGTGTATATTCCATAAAAAGGATGAAGGTATGGCTGAAAAGCGTGAGCACGTCGATCCTAATATGCTCGCGTAAGCAGTGCACCTCTACTGAAAATAACGAACTTGCGCAAGTAAAGACACACTCCGGGAATAAGTAAGTAACCTCAGCCACAGTTAATCCAGTGTCCGTGGTTATTAGTCTTGGTGTACAAGCTCGAAACTTCAAACTTGTGCACAGTTGGCTTTACTTTTAGTTGCAGCAGTTTTGTTCCGTGCAGAAATGCGGTGGTGAAGTCCTTTACGATTAATTAACCATGATGAATTAAACCGCGGTTAAAAGTGAAATCGTTTAATCAGTACATCCCTACTTGAGAATGAGTCGGACTGCATTGTGAATTTTAATGTTTGAGTCGACTGTCCATTTAAGAACAGACATACTTTTGCTGAGTTTTAATATGGCTTGAAGGTTCCATAACAATAAAATAAAGTTTTATTTATTTTTTTTTTTTTTTATATGTTAGTATTAGTATTGCTAGTTTTTATAGTCAATCTAGGGCCATATATACTTGCAAAATAAAAGAAAGTTTTGCAAACAAAACAAAAAAAAGTATTGAGCAAAAAAAAAAAGGCAAATCTCCAAAAATTGCAAACAAATTCTTTTTTTAAGAAACAAAAATTATTAATTTTGCTAACAAAAATAAAGAATTGCAAAGGGGAAACTAACGTGTTGATAATTAAAAATGTAATTTGCAAACAAAAAAAGAACTGTAATAAAAAAAATCAAGCAGTGCAAAAAACATATTTCCAATAAAAAACTATATATATATTTGCTAAACTTTTTTTTAACAGCATTGCCCTTACAAAACCTGTCCAGTTAATTGCATTGCCTAATTTGTACTAATTTGTGAACTGAACAATTTAAGTATAGTCTACAAAACCGGCACGTTAAATAAACTTAAATATGCAAGTTTTGGGAGATTCCATTACTCAATTAAATTGAGCCAACGAGTTTACTCAATTAATTTGTTTCAGTCAACTTATTAGGGTTTTCAGTGCATGGAAACATCCAAAATACCAAACATGTAAATCAATCAATCAAAAATAAGCACATCTACACATTAGTTAATGCCCTTATCATAACACATCTCTTAACATAACATGGATGGCAAATATAATTGACAAAATGAAACAGATTCTGTGTAGAGCTGGAAAAACCCTCCTTACCTTTTCCACAAGGAAACACAACTGAATTAACTGAGGCCAAACAACAACCCATCTCTCTAACACAATGAGACAACACACAGCTCCCCCCACCCCCCCGGAGGAAGGGAAGAGATATAACATCTTCCCTATATGGCCAGAGATTTACTCCATATGTACAGTATAGACATAATTGTGGAAAAAAAGGGATTTCAGATAATTTTGCCCCTTGAGTGTTCTGTGCTTTGAGGTGTACACAAAATAGGTGTAAAAGTTACTGAAAATATGGAGTTTATTGATGTGGCAAATGCAAAAAATCTTCATCTTCAGCTTTTCTCCGCCAACCACCAGATATCCCTCTGGCTCTGGTAAGGATGACATTAAAATACATTTATAATAGAAAAAAAATCTTCAAAATGATACAAGACTTTGACGCACTTAAGAAACATGTATTTTAACATTTTTATGTTGCCTGTTAATGTATTATCAGATAACTTTGATCTCTGAAAACAGTTTCAATTTACTTTAAGCTGCTTTGACACAATTACATTGTAAAAGCGCTATAGAAATAAAAAATGAATTGACTCGAGTAACAGAAGACAATGAAGATAAGATTTAGTAGAAAAACACTTTAACTGTAATCAATGATGTGTATGTGTGAACTATAACTGTTAATTCTTACCCACAATGCCTCAGTTGTTTCTCCTCCTTTCTTTTTGAAAGGTAAACAACAGACAGACCTTCAGCCTCGTGAACTGTCATGATCTCCGACACATATAAATGAATAATCAGTCACGGTTTATGACTCTTTTATGTGTCTGCAGGTGTAATACAGGCCGACATAAGTGCTAATACACACAAAGATCGGACATTTCTGAGCGAAATCGCGGAGTTTCACGCATCGAGTTTCTGATCAGCGGTAAAATGAAGGTGCTTTTCGGGGTGTTTTTGCTGATTGCTGTCCTCACGTCTTTGATGTGGAGAGACACGTTTGACCCAGGTCAGGAGAACAATTTTACTATAATATTATAGTTTATATAGATATTATAGTCTTTTTTGATTCATGATTTGCTTGCATAATGTATGTTAAAATTATTTAAAAGGGTAGTTTACCGAAAAATGAACATTTACTCATCCATTTACTTAAAGTTTCTTTTGATGAACACAAAGGAAAAACTGAGGTAAAGTTGGTTTTATATTCGTTCATTTTTGAACAGTGGCAGCTTATGACAAGGACCCTATATTGTTTACCACGTTACTTTGAATATTTGGTCTGTAATCACATGTACAGTAAATGACTTCAAAACAAATTTAGCACTATTTCATTGACTGTAAACAACGTGCTGTACTAAATATTGGTTGCTAAAGGAAGATATATTGAAGAATGCTGGAAAAGTAGCTATTGACTTTCATTGTATTTTTATTTTTATTCCTACTACAATGGATGTCAATTACTCCTTTCCCCCCAGTATTCTTCAGAACATTTTTGTTTTGTGAAGAGAGAAATTAAGGAAAGTTTTAATCCACTTGAGAGAGTAAATGCTGAGAAAATGTTAATTGTTTTGGGGTGTGAAATTTATTTATTCAAAGCTGTTTATTTAATTTAGCAGACTATTTATTTTAATGTAAAAACATCACATTTAAACTCATAAATATGCCTTGTGTTTTCCAAAGACATTGGTGTAAATAATAATAATAATAATAATAATAATAAATAAAAATAAATAAATAAATAAATATATATATATATATATATATATATATATAAATATATGTGTGTGTGTGTGTGTGTGTGTGTGCAATTCCAGCGTTATGAATGTGACATTTGCAGTAAAAACTTGAAACATAAATTTGCATAGAAAGTATATGTTACATTATATTGAAACATTTATTTTTATTTATTTTATTTGTTTTATTTTCCAGAACAACTGACCACAAAGTTATAGGAGCAGAAAAATATCAATCTGTAAACATGTTTTGTATTTAAAATGTGCAAAACAAACATGTGTTATGGATGTGACAAAAAAAAGTCCGCAGGTTTACAGTATACAACATACTTTGTAGACCCAAAAGAAACAATCATAATCAAAAGGAGAAGAGTTCGCTCTCTATAAAACAAAAATGTTTGATTTTGATTAATATTTTCACATTTATGTGAGGAAAAAGTGCCGTTATGAATGTGACGGATGTGAAATTACCACTTGTGTGACTGATAAATCAAAAAGAATAGTTTGAAAACATTGACAAATGCATTTTAAGCATTTTAAGTATTCCAGAAACCGTTTCCGTATTGTAGTGAAAACGTAATTTTTTTCATGGCATGGTTGAGAATAGCACAGAATTGCTCATATATATATATATATATATATATATAAATATATATATATATATATATATATATATATATATATATATATATATATATATAAAATATATATATATACACACACACACACAATAATTGACATTATTTAGATGTCGATATCATATTTTCGGCCCAAGTTTAACTACCCCATCAAATGTTTGCTGATATTTCACCTTAAGATTAACTGAGTAAATGAATATATTGCCATCTAGTCATGAAAACATTTGGCAGAATCTTTTATTATGATTGTGCAACTTGTTAATATGAATGTAACCTCAGTGAAAATGCATGTGCTGACAGATGTTGTCTTTATGTAATATGTAAGTAAAAGCACATTAGCGCTTCTCAAACCTACAAAGCTTCTCACAAAAGGCAAGGCAAGTTTATTTACATAGCACATTTTATATGGTAATTCAAAATGTTTTACATCAACATGAATAAAAAAACAAGAAAATAAAAATGATTAAGAGAATTCAAAATGATTAAAACAGATAAAAACAGATTAAAATGTGCTAAAACATGTATTTAAAGAATGAAAAAGAAAGGAAAGACAAAATATAGCAATCTGTTGGACGTAGCACAGTGGTCATTCAGTAAAGGCACAGCTAAACAGATGTGTTTTCAGTCTTGAATTGAATGTGCCTAATGTTGGAATACTGCTGATCATCTTGGAAGCTGATTCCAGTAGCGGGGGGTAGCAATGCCACAATTCTCAATATAATACGGAACCGTTCGGTACGACATCCACGGTCAATACGTGCTTGTGAATTGCGTTTTTGGTTTTACGTTTAAATAATTTGTGTGCGTTTTATAACTCTCGGAATTGACTGTTTGTGTATGCCTGTAAGTAGTGGTGGGCAAAGCGAGGCTTCGTGAAACACTGAAACAGTCGAAGCAAATGTTTCGAAGCTTCGAAACTTTTCGAAACCCCACTCTACAGTGACACCTAGTGGTAATTTTTTATGTATTGCACTGAAACAGTTTCAGCAAAGAACGATTGAACAAATCGAGGGATTAAACCCAACTTTGTACGTGAATTCTATAAGTAACATAGTACAGTGGTTAAGGTGTCAGACTTACATGCAGGGTTAGTAGGTTTCGAAGCCAGTTTGTTGCAGTTGTTTTGAAATGCTTTAATATCAGTTGGTAATGCTTTGCTCTTGTATCGTTTTGTTTCAACATTGGTCTGATATCCGAATAAACAATTTGTGAATAAATATGTCTTGTTTTTGTCTTAAAACAGGGTTGTTGCTAGATCAAAAACGGTGGCCTGAAGTTATCAATAATTATTTATATTATTCATTAAATTTCCAATTTATTGTATTTTATTAATGTCTACCCTAAACCCAACCATACTGTAAAAATATTTATTATAGTTTTACAGTGTTACAAAAATGATGCTAAATTGATGGCGTAACTGTAGCTGTATCCTATTTAGGCTACACAAAACAGAAACATGATTAAAATACATAAAACCATGATTTCAGAGTATTTGTACAAGTCGGGATTCGAACCCAAAACATCATGCTAAGTATAGAATCAATTAGCAAACCCACAGTCCTCTAAGCCATATGAGACAGAAGTAGCTCGGAGACCTTGGCAGTCAAATTAGGATTCGCCAGGTCTCGAAACGTTTCTAAGCTGATCGATGCTTTGAATCGCTTTAGTCACGTGACTAGGTGTTTCGAAACACTTTAGTCACGTGACTTTGGTGCTTCGGATCATGCTTCGGTGCAGTGTTTCGAAACACTTGCGCTTCGGGATCTCGACACTGTGTCGAAACATCAGTTTCACTTCAGCCATCCCTACCTGTAAGTCTACAAGCTAAGATGAGAAAACTCCTCCCCTCGAGTAAATAATCAATCCCTATGCTCTAAAATTAGGGGGCGCTTAACCATCATTCCACACTTTAACATGTCGAGCGGCGGTGAAGTAAGGCAACAACACGAGGAAGCGTCGGTTTTCTCACCACACCGGCGTCTTTCAAATCTGCGGTGTGAGCACATTTCAGTTTTGCCGTTGAGTATAATGCCAATAAAGGAAAAAACGTTGACCAAAAAATGACTGTGTGCAAGCATTGTTTTAAACGTATAGCCTACTCAAACAGAAACACTTCCAACGTGACTGCACATCTGCGGCGCCATTACCTAGCAATATCACTGTCTGAAGGCAGCATAGCAGAGAAGGTAATAAAGTTCTCCAAAAAACAACAATACCTTGCCGAACTCTTCCAGCAAATATACCCAACTGATTCAGTGGAGGTGTTCATTGCTAAAGATTTGCAGCCGTTTTCAGTGATTGGAGATGCGGGCTTTTGTCATCTTATAAAAGCACTCGATCCGCGGTCACTTACAGACTACCGTCTCGCACTTTTTTCAGCACCGAGATAATTAAGATGGTTTATTTATGTTTACTGGAGTACAAATATGTTTATTTGAAATGGTCAATTTATGTTTGATAACTTCACATGTATGTTTACTTTCAAAATGTAGGAATGTATGTGTTCCCCAGTTTGTACATGGGCAAAGAGCTTAGACTGACCAAGAGGCGACACTCAATAGACTGATTTCACGCGGCCGCCATTTTCAAAAGCGAAATCGAGGCTGCGGTGGGAAGAAACCCGGAAGTATCATTGGGAATTACATAGGAATGTTGTGTATATCTTTTATAATTTTTAAGTGACACAAATTTATCCTTTCACCGCCTTCCGGGTGACCAGAAAGTCCGTTTTGAATGAATGGTAAAAATAAAAAGGGATATCAGAGCTCTTTTTCAGTTAAGTTAAGGAAAATGGCACTAGTTAGCTAACGTTTTCTTTCCCAAAAACACGTATAGATGCTATTTGTCAAACTTTAGTTAATGAACTGATTCTTTCACTATATTAGACTCGTCACGATACTGAATTAAAAGAAAAAACTTCAATTTTCCATTAACATTTAAGGCACTGTTGATGGCTTTGTTAAAACAGCGCTGATTTGTCATTTGTCACATGCTCAACAGAAATGATTCCTATTGCTTAAGCATAGAACAATAAAAGAAAAACACATGTGTCAAGCCATCAGAACCGAACCGAAAACCATATAAAACCGAGGTATGTATTAAACCGTAGGCTAACTGTATTGTTGCATCTCTAGTGGGGGGCGTAATAGCTGAAGGCGGATTAACCCTGCTTTGTCTGAACTATTTCTAATTTACTTGATCCTAATGATTAGTGATCTGTTAGGTTTGTATTCACTATTCAGTGAGCATATCTGTAATATATTGAGGTCCTGAGCCATTAAGTGATATATAGACAAGTAATAATACTTTAAAATCTATTCTGAATGTAACCTGGAGCCAGTGTAAAGACCTGAGGACAGGTGTGATGTGCTCTGATTTTCTGGTCCTGGCCTCAGCGTTCTGAATGAGCTGCAACTGTCTGACTGTCTTTTTGGGAAGGCCTGTGAGGAGGCTGTTACAGTAATCCACCCTGCTGCTGATAAAATCATGAATAAGTTTCTCTAAATCCTCTCTGGAAACAAAGCGTCTAATTCTTGCAATGTTTTTGGCTACTGAAACTCATGTCTGACTGCAGAATAACACCAAGATTCTTGACCTCATTTTTGTTGTTATTGTACGCCAGAGCCAATGTAAGCCAAATATAGCCATATAGGGATAAACTAATAGTCATAACACGATTAATAAATCAGGCTTTTATGGCTAATACAATATGATAAAGTGATAATATGATATAATAATTTTATTCAGAGGCCCAAACTGCATATACATTACATTTAATAAAAATGGAAATGTGTATGCCCAAAAAGTTAGATTGAAATGCTTTTATATTTAAAGCTATAACACAGTACAATATAATAATCAAACAACCTGGTTTACCAGTTTCACAGACTAAAGTCTGAGCCAAGTTTCAGCTGAAATAAACATGCACTGACTGATCTTAAATATATATATCAGTGCTTTGTTTCATCTTAACAGGGCCAACAGTAATATATGTTTTTTTTTTTTTTTAATGTTGCATAGCTATGTTTTTGGCAATAGCACTAGCTCTATCACAGTATTGGGTTTACTGCTTTAAAATAAGTTCTTTTAAAATGTCTAATTAAAAAAACAACAACACAATGAACACAATATATTTTATTTTAGGAAACATTTATAATATTTTGGAACATGTCAGGCTAGATAATTAAAATAAATCATTGACCTCTGCTTTCTTCATTGGTTTCAAAAATAAATAAATAAAATATATTAAATAAAAATCTTACATATATCTTAGGAACGGTATAACAGAAAATTTTTGCGGTTATAAAACCTTGACTTTTCCAAACCGCTGTAACATTGAAACCGGTTATCATCCCATGCCTAGGCAAGAGTGGGTGTTGTGCAATAATTTTAGGTTTTGATCCACGTCAAATGGTGACTACTGTATATTGTATGGGTATTGATTTTCCTTTTATGCCAAAATAATTGCAGTATTAAAAGATCATGTTCCATTAAGATATTTTATAAATGTTTCTACTGTGAATATATACATTTCATTTTCTAATTATTTATGTGGATTGATAAACACTTCAGTCCTACACTTTTAAAGGTGATTTTCTTAGTATTTAGCTTTTTTAACCGCTTAGACTCCATAATTTCAAATATTTGTATCTCAGTTAAATATTGCCCTCTTTAACAAAACCTTACATCAGTGGGAAGCTTATTTCTACAGCTTTCAGGTGATGTTTAAATCTTTATTTAAAAAATAAATATGACACCTATGATTGATTTTGTGGTCAAGTGTCCTATTTATAAAAGTAAATAACAGTCTTAGTTGAACTATGGCCTCATCCTGGCGTAGTCAAAACTAAGGATTGGTATCGTTAAGGTTTTAACGGTATTACTACTTTTATCGATACCACTTATCGGTTCGGTAGTTTAACGGTTCTCTTATCGGTACTTTTTGTAGTGTTTTTTTTTTATATATAAAAACAAAAAACAAATTGAACAGAATTAACAACACTCTGTTTTATCATTATATTTTAATGTAAAATAAAACTAAACCAATAGTAAATAAATAAATAAATAAAACTAAATCAAAAAACAAATAAATATCTTTGTTCCTGTAAAAGAATGTACAATGGTTTGAAGGAAAATGACTCATCATGTTTGTCTTTTCTGGCAGAAGTCAAGATCGTTCTCGGTTTATTGTGCTCGCTGAAGTTGAAAATACACTCTTTGAGTGGCAAAATGCAGTTAAATGAGATATTGTTTATGATTTTTTTATTAACGCATTCACATAAATTAGTTAACAGTGTTTTGGGTGTTTACTGTGTTTTTAATACAGTTTTGAAGCATCTTGCAAAGTAAAAATGAGCAGTTTTTAAATATAATTTCTTAATAATAGTTTATTATTAGGCTATTATAGGCTATATTTGTAAATACAGTAATGTTAAAGCATTTTTAATGTTTAAGATTTATTTAGGCTACTGCAGAAAAAAAATACTGTTTTCTTTGTAATTGAATGTGTGAGTTTATTTAACTATTAATGTTATACTAATTTAGGTGATTGGCTGCTGGCATAACGATGTGAATGATGTAACGTTAGCGTTAATAATTAGGCAGTCAAAAACTTTTCATTGCAGTTAATGCACTTTTGAAAGATACTTTTATTTCACTTATACAAGAAAACAACTTGTTGCATTTGTTGCAACGGGCATTGTCGCTGTCCATTCGGGAAATACAACCCGTTTGGTTCTCTCCGCCACAAGCTTACAAGCTGTGAGTGCGCTAGTCTGTCGCGAGCTATGTGTGTGTTTAGCGCGAGCCTCCACTGAGCGCCAGTGTTGCCAACTTAGCAATTTTGTTGTTAGGTTTAGCAACTTTTCATACTGCTGATAACCTACTAATGTTATTGTAAGTTTTAAAATAAGCAAGGCAAGTTTACTTTTATAGCACATTTCATACACAATGGTCATTCAAAGTGCTTCACATGAACTGGAATAAAAGAAACATAAAATATAAATAAAAGAAAATAAAAACAAAGAATAAAAAATAAAATATTAAAATGTATTAAAACTGGTTTTAAAGGAATGAACAAGAAAAGAAAAACGTAATAGTTTATAACAGAAAATAGTGCATAAAAGAAAATAAAGACATTATAATAAAATTAAAAATCTTGTTTTTTTCTTACACCTATAGAGTCAATTCGTGGGACCCGAGTGTTGATCACAGGGGCCAGTTCAGGCATCGGGGAGCAGATGGCCTACCATTATGCAAAGTTTGGAGCTGAGATCGTCATCACCGCCAGACGATTGGAGGCTTTAAAAAAGGTCAGTTCTTTGGTCCCCAATCTTTCTTTTTTCTTTTTCTTTTTGTTAGGCAGATACATGAATACCAGTATGACATGTGAAATGCATAGTATAACATCCCAAAACATTAGTCTAATCCTAACCCAAATTGACCCCACAAAAAGTGGTTAGCACTGTCACCTCACAGCAAGAAGGTCGCTGGTTCGAGTCCTGGCTGGGTGAGTTGGCATTTCTGTGTGGAGTTTGCATGTTCTCCCTGTGATGGCGTGGGTTTCCTCCGGGTACTCCGATTTCCCTGACAGTCCAAACACTTACCCAATTCATCTGCGCTATAGATGAATTGGGTAAGCTGAATTGGCCATAGTGTAGGAGTCTGTGTGTGAATGTGAGTGTGTATGGGTGTTTCCCAGTACTGGGTTGCGGATGGAAGGGCATCTGCTGTGTAAAACACATGCTGAAATAGTTGGTGGTTCATTCCACTGTGGTGACCACTGATAAATAAGAAACTAAACTGAAATCTGAATGAATGCTAAATAATGAAAGAAGAAAAAACAGGAAGTGGAAGGGGGATGGGTTTCATCTACAACGAAAGTAAGGTCTCGACAAAAGAAACCCCAGGGGTCCACATTTCATTAAATAAACTGACAGTTTCTGATGGAATATTTCATTTATTCATTGGTCCCACTTTATATTAAGTGTCCTTAACTACTATGTACCTACATCAAAATTTAAATACTATGTACTTACTGTGTTTATAATGTATTTGAGAACACTTGTGGTGCTTTTGAGTTGGGATAGATGTTGGGTTATAGATAGGTTTGGTGGCTTGGGTAGGTTTAAGGGTGGGTTAAGGTGTAAGGGATAGTCAACAGTGTATTTACAAATGTAATTACAAAAGTTAATTAAAGATGTAGTTACATACATGTATTTAATCAAGCATAAGTACACAGTAAATACATGTATTTACACAATAAGTACATTATAACAAACTATTAATACCTCTGTAAGTACATATTAGTTAATGCCACTTAATATAAAGTGGGACCTTCATTTATTATCCTTCGGCTTAGTATCTATTTTTTAAGATCACCACCGTGGAATGTACCACCAACTATTCCGGCATATAATTTACGAAGTGGATGGCCTTCCAGCTGCAACCCAGTACTGGGAAACACCCCCACACACACTCATACACTACGTCCAATTTAGTTTATCCAATTCCACGTGTTTAAATTGTGGGGCAAACCCACGCCAATACGAGGAGAACATGCAAACTCCACACAGAAATGCCAACTGTCCCATTGATGTGATGCTAACCACTGAGCCACCATGCTGCCCTGGAATATTTCACGTTTTTAACTGTAAAAAAGACATTAAGTCTTTCAGACAGATTTGCAAGGGCACATGAAAATTTCGCAATATTTGCCTGCTCCCAAATCTTTCGTCTGCATTTTTGAAATGGTGTTTTGGATGCTTCCCAATTTTCTTGCAAACACTGCAAAGAGCATGAATATTTCCTTGAAATGATAGTTCATCCAAAAATGAAAATTCTGTCATTGTTTAAGCACAATAAACACGTTCAATAACGTTTTAGTTACTGATTTTTTTTTTATCTTTGCCATGATGACAGTACATCATATTTGATTGGATTTTTTAAGATACTAGTATTCAGCTTAAAGTGACATTTAAAGTCTAAAAGGTGCAGTAGGTGATTGTCTTCAGAAACATTTCTTGTTGTGCTGGTTGAAAGTCTCTTCACATTCCAATAGTACTTATTAAAGTAAATGATCTAAATGTGTTTATATGAATTTTTATATTCTGGATAAGGCATATAAACTAGAAAATGTTCATTCAATTAAACGGTGTCGAGCCAACAAAAAAAGGCATCTCAAACTGTCTGTAAACAAATTTAAATGTGAATTGCTGCGCAGCCTCTTTAAGCTCGCGTGTAAACGTGAAGCACAGCTCTAGCGCTGACAGAGAGACGTCATCAGACAAACTCTGCATCAACCAGCGTCGCCTTGTATTCTTGAAAAAAAAACATTGTTTCTGAAAAGGCTTCTGCCAAAAATCCCTGAATCAATATCGGTTACTTTTGCATGCTGGAGGGAAGTGACGTTATGCAGTTCTAAACAACGATCTGAAGAGTGACACCACGGCTGGAGTATTGCTTTTAGTCAGGTGTGTTTTAAAACTATTTTAGCCACGCAAAGCTGATGTAGATTGTGTTCTTGTTTATGAATGGGTTTATATGCACGGTAGTGTTGTTCAGCCACTGAAAACTACCAGCAGAAGATTGGCAATTTTCAAGTTCATGGAGAACCTTTTACAGCATCCGTAATATAGTTGGTTAAATAGACCTGAGCATGGACGTAAATCTGATTCAACAGTAGGGAGGACAATAAATATAAAATTTCTTTCGAGCATTTTTTTTGAAGGGGACACAAATAATACAGCCGAATTGTACTTATAAAGTTATGTCCCCACTGTAAAAATGGTTTCATCATTATTATTATAGCATGGTGAATACGTCAGTATGATTATTTTTCAAAGTTTTTATCAGGTTCAAAGATAAAGCAGTTTTTCTTCAAAATTACTTATTGCATTGTTTGTTGTGTTTACAATCAACTCCTGAAGTAAATTAAATGCAGGAAAAGACATTTTCCATACTCATAATAACAAGTTTACATTACACTTGTTAAATTGACCGATCATATTGTAAATAGGTGAGCCTGTGAAGTTCATCTGCTAAACAGCCACAACTCCAAAAACATTTTAAAACACCCTTACCTGCCACTGTACATCTGACTGACCCTGCTCTGCCTGTTCCTCAATCATTTCTTTCTCCTTTGCCTGTGATTAATATTGTGACGTTAGTATTTTCATAAGCACTCATTCTTAAAGCCAAATTGCTTAATATGTAAACTTTTTGTACTTGGCGTTTAGCTGCACTGAAAGATGATCTTATGTCTATTTTCTCTGTCACTTTACCCAATGCATGACACTGCCAGGCAAGTTTATTTACACTGTAGCACATTTTAAACACAATGGCAATTCAAAGTACTTTACATAAAGAATGTAAAACTTTCATAAAAATAATCACAATAAAAACAAGGACATTTTTATTTCAAATTAGTTGAGTCACTTAAGAACAGAATAGAAACTGATTATACAAAAATACAGTGGGGTTAGACTGGATATAGCAAAGTGCTCATTTAGCAAATACACAGCTAAACAATATGCTAATTGTGGCCGCTAATGTTAAGTTGTGCAGACCGAACCACTCTGAGAAAGGGGAGGGGGAACTTAACTTCTAAATGCATTTGAAATGATGAATGCGGTTTTCTTTCTACTAAGTAAATTATTTTAGGTATATATACATATATTTTTGACAATTGAGAGTTTTTTTTAAATAATAATTTTTTTGGGGGTTGGGGGGGTGGGGGGGGGAGACAACCCTCAGATGGGAGGGGACATGTCTCCCCCGTCCCCCCTAGGATTTACGCCCGTGGACCTGAGCATTCGTTTAGTTATTCAACTGAAAAAGGAGCTGAAAACAAGCGATGAACGAGGATCAGCGAGCACAATTGAGAATGAGAAGACACTCGTAACGTAACATAAACATAAGTGTAATGTAAACAGATGGCAGGATATTTCTGTTTTTAGCTCTGCTTTATTCTGATCTGATTCTTATTCAGTTTATTAACTAAACATCAGTAAATGTGCTCTAGCACCTAACCAGCTTTACTGAGGTGAAGTTTGATTATATTCACACATTTGTTCATTTTTGAACAGTGACAGCCTGTGATACAGTTTTGGAGATATATAAATCCTGCACCCGCTGGCCTGTCAACAATGCGCTTGATAAAGTGTGTGTCTCCGTAGAGTTTTCTAACTGGTGAATGACATGATCTAGTGTTATATCTAATCGGTGCGCGTTCGCGTGTTCATGACTTAAGGAGGCGTGGCTTTGGACAGCAGGGGAGCGTCATAAAATTTCTAAGCTGTTATGCTTATGCTAGGATTCTAGCAGATCACCTACTGCACCTGTAACTAGGTTAATTAAGGACATTAAGTTCATTGTATAACAGTGGTTTGTTTTGTAGACAATATTAAAAAACAATATTGGTTAAGGGGGCTAAGGTTAAGCGATGTTGACCAATTTGGCATCATGCGATGTCTAATGTGAAACATCACGATGGCATCATCCTCATGTGGGTTGGGGGGGAATGGGGTGGGTCGGGGGGTGCAGCGGGGTTGGGTTTGGAGGTGGTGTTTGACAGTGCGCGTGATGTGTCTGAAGAGCGAGGAGGCATCCGGTGGTGAGGGGTTAGAAGAGTGTGTTATTTGAGGACCGGTGTGTTATTTGAGACACGCGATTTTCGGGAGATTCGGGATTTCGGGAGATCACTCGTTTGCAGGCGTCCAGGAGTCTCTATGCATTTACTGGAGACACTCGGAACTTCCAGGAGACTTGGAATTTCTGAATATCATGTTTAACAACTATAGTGAGACACGATCCAGCAGTACATCCTTGTTAAACTGCCCGACGTGCACTGCTCACTGGAGCTCAGATGAGCGCATGACAGTGTGTGTGGCTGTGTGCGTTTTCAGCGGACAGAGGGCTGTTCAGAAATGCTAGGTAAAACACTGTGTAGATGTGGATAATTTTCGTTCTAAAACTCCATTTTAACACGTATTAGTGTAAACGGGGCCTAAGAGGGTATTTTTCGTGAGCGGGTTTGCGTCGGGGGCTGGGTGGAGGATGGGCGATGCCGGCTCAGCACTGTGTTGTCTATTGGCCAACAGCAATGGACGATGGCATTGACTATCGGCCCAACCCTAAAGGGGGCTAATAATATTGACCCTAAAAAGGCTTTAAAAAAATGTAAAACTGCTTTCATTCTAGCCAAAATAAAACTAATAAGACTTTCAGAAAGATAAAAAATATTGTAGGAAATACTGGGAAAAAAATTCTTGCTCTTAAACATAATTTGTAAATTGTTTAAACAAGAAGGAAAAAAAAAATCAAGAATGTTGGTAACCACTGAGTCAACGTGTTTGTTTTTTCTACTATGGATATCAATGGTTACAGGTTTCAAACATTTTTTTTAAATATCTTCTTTCGTGTTCAACAGAAGAAAGAAACTATTGATGATGTGTAAAGAGCGAGCACATTTCATTTTTTAAGAGAACTTTCTCTTTAATGGTAACAAAAATACAATTATTTTGCATGTAAATAACTTCAATGAGCAAATAAAAGCGATGCATGTAAATAGACCTGCACTGCTAACCTTTATCATGCGCAGGTCACCCAGAAGTGTGAGAAACTGGGCGCTAAGAAAATAATGTATGTGACCGGAGACATGTCTGACCCCGCTGACCCCGAGAGAGTCCTCAAATACACCATCGAGAAATTGGGTGAGAAATGACTCCATCACACAACAAATATATAAGCGAAATATATACAAATAGAGGGCGAGGCGGGGGCGCAGTAGGTCGAACCTCGGCTCAGTTGGCGTTTCTGTGTTTGCATGTTCTCCCTGCCTTCGCGTGGGTTTCCTCCGGGTGCTCCGGTTTCCCCCACAGTCCAAAGACATGCGGTACAGGTGAATTGGGTAGGCTAAATTGTCCGTAGTGTATGAGTGTGTGTGTGAATGTGTGTGTGGATGTTTCCCAAAGATGGGTTGCGGCTGGAAGGGCATCCGCTGCGTAAAGACTTGTTGGATAAGTTGGCGGTTCATTCTGCTGTGGCAACCCTGGATTAATAAAGGGACTAAGCCGACAAGAAAATGAATGAATGAATATACAAATAGAAAATGCATCCAAATTCTTCACAGTTTAGAAAACTGTTAAGAAAATTAGAAAAAAGTAATTGGGAAAACAGTTACAAATGCATAAAGATAATACTACAGACAAGACACGTTCATAGTTTTAGTGAAGAGATTAAATTCTTCCATCAATTTCCTTATGAAAAAATGTTAGCCAAAATAAATTAAGATCATATGACACATTCTCAATCATGAATTCCATGCATAATTTAAGTATAGGGCATTGAATGGCTTTCTAAAACCTCAATATTATACGTGCTGCTGTAGTTATACCAGTAGTTAAGGCTGATTTATACTTTTGCGTCAAGTGCACGCGTATGCTACGGCGCTGATGCATAGCCCTTCGCCGTGGCCGTCGGCATAACTGACATGCACCTCTCAAAAAATGTAACTACACGTTGCAACGACGCGTGGCGCAAGCTCCGTGATTGGTCGGCTTGGTAGCGATGACGAGTCTGGGCGGGACCGAGAGCCGCGCGAGTTGGGCGCGAGCCCAATGGAAGATTGTTTACAAGTGTGGAGTCCGGTGAAGGAGCTCCGAATGGAAAGTTTTGTTCTGTGTTTACCTCATAGTTAAAGTTGTTGCACATCCGCCGGTTCCTGCCTCAAAATGAGCGAGTTTGAGCCCCTTATACATCCCGGAAGTGTTCAGGAAAAGCAAAACAGCAGCTAAGAAACTCGACACAGAGGAACATTAACTCCTCACTGCCAACTAGCGTTTCAAAAGTGTAATGCAGCCCAACAGAGACAGCGCGCAGAAGTATAAATGCACAGCTACGGGCGTTGCATGCGCCGATGGTTACGCCAATCACTTGACGCAGAAGTATAAACCAGGCTTTATAAGGGAGAACTCATCATTCGTAATATGTGAAACCTCAGTTTTATCACCTACAAGACATATCCTGGGTAAGAGATGAATCCCAGGCATCCATGGAGCATTCTTCAAATCAAATGTTTTGTCAATATATTGTGTATTTATTGTGCAGGCGGTCTGGATTTTCTAGTGTTAAATCATGTCGGAAACACTAACGTGGGGCTGTGGAACAGAGATGCAGATCATGTCAGGTCACTCATGCAGGTAAAACCCCTGATGATAGTTTCTTTGCTCTAGGTGTTGCAGTGTATGTGTGTTTGTTTTCATGCTGATCTCACCTTTTCCAGGTGAATTTTGTGAGTTACGTGCAGATGGCGGGAGCAGCTCTACCTGTGCTGGAAACATCCGGCGGCTCAATCATTGTAGTTTCCTCACTGGCAGGTGAGTCTTGAATGATGTTACATGTTGCCATTTCTTTACTAAAAAGCCATTAATAATGTGTCAGGAATAATATAACAGCGTCATTATGTTTTTTTTTTTTTTTTACCTCAACTAGAGTGGTACAAGCTGAATTTGTCATTTAAAATTACATTAAATTTAATCGATACTGACAATGTTCTGTTGGCTTCATCGAACATTGACCTTCAACATGCACTGGGGCAGTTTGCTGCCGAGTGTGATGCGGCTGGGATGAGAATCAGCACCTCCAAGTTCGAGACCATGGTGCTCCACCGGAAAAAGTTGGTTTGCCATCTCCAGGTTGGAGGAAAGTCCTTACCCCAGGTGGAGGAGTTTAAGTATCTCTGGGTTTTGTTCACGAGTGAGGGAAGGATGGAACGTGAGATTGACAGGTGGATAGGTGCAGCGGCAGTAGTAATGCGGTCGAGGTACCGGTCTGTTGTGGTGAAGAAGGAGCTAAGCCGAAAGGCACTTTCCTACTGTCACCTATGGTCATGAGCTTTGGATCATGACCGAAAGGACAAGATCTCGGATGCAAGCGGCCGAAATGCAATTCCTTTGAAGGGTGGCAGGGTGCACTCGTACAGATAGGGTGAGGAGCCTCGACACCCGGGAGGAGCTCGGAGAAGAGCCGCTGCTCCTCCACATCGAGAGAAGTCAGCTGAGGTGGCTCGGGCATCTGTTTCAGATGCCTCCTGGACAACTACCTAGGGAGGAGGAGGCCTCGGCGGTGACCCAGGACACGCTGGAGGGACTATGTCTCTCGGCTGGCCTGGGCACGCCTCAGACTTCCCTCTCGTACAGCTCCTCCGGGGAGAGGGAAGTCTGGGGTTCTCTCCTAAGACTGCTGCCCCCGCGACCCAGCCCCGGAAAAGCGGCAGAAGATGAATGAATGAATCGATACTGTTAAAAATAATTTGGCAGAGTATTGACACTTTTAATGAGGCATTTTAATGACAGATACAGTTTGTTTCACTGAAAACAAGACTAGAAAAAAAAATCATGACACAATTATAATGCCTCATGACAGTCATGTTTATGACAGATTTATGACAAGTTATGTTGTCTTGGTAATGTCAAGTTGTCATTAGGCATGTGCTGGTATCACATTTTCATGCTGCGATTAATTGATTGAGCTTTTATCACGGTATACGGTATTATCACGGTATTGTAATTTTACAAGAGAAACAGGTAAAAAAAAAAAAAACACAAAAAACTTCAACTTAGTAACTTTAATAACTTTTTAATTAACTAAAAGTACTTCAAACATTTAAATACAAATAAACATAAATAAAACAATACACAATATAAAAGTAAACTTGAGCAATTATATCAAAGTGAATGTGCAAACGCTGAGGTGAGAGGACATGTCCACTGGCACTAAATACCCTCTCTGAAGGAACACTTGTTGCAGGAATGCAGAGAAACTTAGCCAAGGTAGCAAGATGAGGAAGTTCTTCAGCATGCAAACTCCACCAGTGCAATGGATCTGCCTCTGATTTTATTAGTGGCAGAGAAAGATACAGTTTGATCTCAGCTTCAGTCTTTGACTTCATGCTGCCCTTACCCTCCTGCTCCATGATGAAGGTCCATATGAAGCTTGACGCTGGAATGCCTCTTGAACTGTTGGCTGAACGATGGCTTCAGCTGAAGATGAACCAGCACTGCTAGATGCATGGCCACAGTGGGCTATAACCAGCCCACTGCCAGTTTTCTCAATTATATTTCAGCACCCGGGTTGCCTTGGTGGAAAACAGCAGATTTCATTTCACCCATGAGATCTCTGGAGAACAATAGCAGCCTCCAAAATGAGACGCAGATTCAGACTTCCACATGAGGTGGTTATTATTATAAATATTACAAACGTACACATTAGGTGAGCTGCATACATTAGAACATCGTGTCCTAACAACACAACGCGAAAAGATTTGCAGTGATAAGCAAATTGGCTGAACACGACAGAAACAGTTAAATAAAGGCATTCATAAGCACAGAATAGTGCAATCACTGAAATGGTAAGGTTCATAATCTAATTAATACATATTAAACCTCTTTAACATTATTAAATGCACATGCTGGATCACTGATATGTGTTGGTTTGCACTGACTCACAGTTCAGTTTTAAATGGTTTATTTTATTATCAGGAGCTGAGGTGAACTATCTGCTGCTGCTTTCAGTCGTATGACAATAAATGTCGTGTAAAAAGGCCTTCAAACTCACATTATTAGCATTTAACTCTGAATAAAGCACATGAGCTGTACCTGAGGTGACCATTGTCATGGTTCATCCTGTTAAGAAATATAAGCCATTTCTAGAGTATGGACTTCAGATGTTGGTATGGACAAACTCATTTTAATATGGAAAACATTCCTTCTATCGCGTGTCTTTTAGTTAGGACACGGTGTAGGCTCGATTATCTGGCAGGATCGCTCCTGGCGGTGTTGTAAATCTGGCAACCAGTGCTTGCGTGGACTCGTATATGTTTCTTTATTTAACCAGATAAAAACCCATTGAGATCAAGATCTCATTTACGAGGGTGACCTGGCCAAGAGGTCTGCAACACACGATTTATAAAAGAAATAAAAAAATATATTAAAAAAAGTAATATTAATAATAAATAGAAAATTTATATAATATAAAAATACAGTTCAGTTTTCCAGCTTTACCACATTTCAATATATTAAAACCAAGTGTGCCGCAAGCCTGCGTTTGAGTGAAGGTCTCGGCTGTTAGATTGCCCCCTGGGGGCTGGCTGCAGTACAAGTCATAAAGCCCGCCTCCTCCGTGTTAATGAAGGAGACTTGAGCCCAAATAAAAAAAATTATTACACTTGCAATAAAATGTCCCGAAAGATGGTTCTGGTCGATTAAGGCACTGGTTATTGTGCTGAAATAGGTGCAGATCTTCATTTTTGTAAACAGTTTGTTTTTAGCAGTAATTTAATGCTGGGCGTGTCATCGTGATTGACAGCTGTGATTGACAGTTTCTCAAAGCAGCGCATCTGAGCTTCGGCAGGAGACTGAAATGTTATTCGATTTCTGTGTTATTTTACCATGACAAAATAAGTTCAGCAGTAAACTATAGTTTCTGACATACATGATCCTGGTGGAACACTGTTTATTCGCTAAGTTCAGGGCTTTTTTCGGGCTTTATATTAGTTTGCTGATACACGCCTAACCACCCAGATAGCAAAACACAGTTCCGGCTAGATTCTCGCCTGCCGGAGACTTATCCCTCAGAGCTCAGACTGACTACCTCTGCTGGACCTACTCCGGATGCCTGGACTCACTACCCGATTCCAGCCCGAGTCAATCGAGCCAGATGCGGCGGCCGAGCGAGCAGGCGCTGCCGCATGCGAGTCGGAATCAGCCCGCGACGTCGCGAGTAGGTTATGCGCTGCGGTCCGGAGCTGGCGCGATTTAATATATAAAACCCTCATATTTGTTAAAGTTATTACATCCATTTGTGTTTATATGGCAGCAAACGCATGCTGAGAAGTTCGGGGGGCGTGGTTGATTTTACATAAAGCGTTTGGTTGGAAGCTCGACTCTGCTCATTTTCGCGGCTCCTCCTCTGGCTCCATCAGACAGTCCTTCTGCGCATGTCAAGGCTCCAATTTCAGCAGTCTTTTGTGACAGTTTGTGCCCGTCAAGCAGGCGTTTTGCCCTCAAGGCGTTCAATGGGAAAAAGGGCTGTCGCGTCGTCCATATTTTTTACAGTCATTGATTAAAACACATACATTGAGAAATGGACTGTTGTTTGTTAAAAAGGATAGTGCGAAACGATGTCATTGGGATGAGCTCAGATATCTTTAGTTCAGACTGAAGAGTATTCCAGGATGAGGGGGCGGCTTGACTAAAGGCTCGCTTCCCTATTTCAGTTAGAACCCGGGGAACAGTCAAATGATAAGATTCACTTGAGCGTAGGGCATACTGTCTTTTAGACTTATGGAGAAGGGAACATAGGTATGAAGGCACCAGTCCCAGAAGAGCCTTGTAGACCAGAGTCATCCAGTGGGTGTACCTTCTTACATACAGAGAAGGTCACTCAGCTTTGGCATACAATTCACAATGGTGAGTAAGTCTTTGACAGCCTGTAACAAACCTTAGAGCACTGTGATAGATAGAGTTTAAAGGCTGAAGACATTTGTTTGAAGCATAAATAAAATATCACCATAGTCAATCAATGGTAAAAATGTTGCAGACACCAAATGTTTACGAGCTTTAAGAGAAAAGCAGGATGCATTTTGATAGTAAAATCAGAGCTTAACTCTCAATTTTCTAACCAAATTTGCTAAGTGTTCTTTAAAAGAAAGCTCCTGATCGAGTAGAAAGCCTAAATACTTATAGCTGGACACTAAATTTATTTGTTGACCTTGGGCAGTGGTAACTAATGGTTGGTTCTGCACAGGAGTGGAACAATTTGTGAAAATCATTCATTTAGATTTGTCTACATTTAAAACCAATTTAAGAGGAGGAGCTGAGTTAAAAAGTGTTTTAAACTAAGAGTGCGATACCTAGTTGAACCACTGGGTGTCACACTTACATTCTGCACTTTTAAGTTGAACTTGTCATTTTTATGTCTGTGTTTGAAAAGTGAAGGGGTTAAGGGCCTACTCACACTATGCCATCCGTACCGTGCCCAGGCCCGTTTCCCGGATTGTTTGAGAAGTGTGAGTGCGCTGAATCGGGCTCAAGCACGGTTCACTTGGCCGGCCCTGGCCTGGTTGGAAGAGGTGTGCCTGAGCCCAGTTCACTTGGGCTTTGGCGAGGTACGCTTGTGTGTGAGTGCAAAACGCGCCAAAGCCCGAAACTGAAAGCGAGACGTGGCTTTTAAGGGGCTGTTTCATATGGATTTATTAATAATTCTTACTGTTCAGTGAACGCAAACTGCCGTAGTTTATTAAAGACGCAAACCCCTCACTGCACGACAGCTG